TAAATTATATTAATTAGAAAAAAACTTGAAAAATAAAAAGTTGTGTCACTATAACAATGTTTAAGAAATTCAGAAGATGTAAATTAAGAAACATTTATTAATATCAGACTTCCATGTTTAGATTAACAAACTTATATTAAAATGTTCCCAAAGTACTTCAAGGTTGCTTGTTATTTTTTAATCTCAGCTCAAGACCCTACTTAATTATTTTACTGCAGTTATTTTAGACTATTAAAAGAGCACTGTGCCTTCAATGGATTTGGAAATGAAGGGATTTCAGGGAAACTTTTAGGTTGATCAAAGAATATAAACTGATCCACCTTGCTGGATTCCAGTGGTGAGAAGGCAAAGGCAGTTGGATTTTGGAAGGTGCTTTGGGTAGTATTAAAATGTTGCTCACATATACCAAGAATAGCAGTGTAACAATATAGGAAACATGGATTGGAATCCACCCACTCTGACACGCCCACTTTCCTTCTCTGAAACTATCCCACTTCCTTTCACTTTTACTTTTACCACGTAAAAGAGCCAAGGCACAGAAATGGTCTTGATCAGAGGAAAATAATAGGCAAAAAATACACAATCTAGAAATGATGGTGAAATCTTTTTGATCATGAAAAAGAAAGTATCTGCAAGATACAGAAAAATAGGACATAAAGATAAATATTTTTACCCTTTAATTTTTCAAAAGAGGGAGCATTTTGATCATAGTAGTTTAGGCTTAACTACAAACAAGTTAAATGTCAGGGGGCTCTTAATTTCCTTCACCGGTTATTTTATAACATAAGAGATCAAACTATTCTAACTTTTTAATGGTGTTTATAATTTTTTAGTCACTATGCCACATATTTGGGAGAGCTATTTACTCTTTAAGCAGTATTTCCTTTAACCTGTATCTCTTCAGTGTTATTTTTTTCAAAAAAGCTTTCTAATTAATTAGGAAATGTGTGCTGGGCAGTTTTACTGGAGGTCAGCAAATGTAGTGGGAATATAACAGCTAGAAGTAAAGATTTCTTCAAAACAGTTGGGTCAATGAAATCTTTTGATACTAGATAAATACAGGAAGCCACTGGTGTAACTGAAGATGCACTCAGGCAAGAACATAATTTGATATTCTAAACATAATTTTGAGAAATTTATTACCTCTCACTTAGTTGTCCCATCAGAAATTTCTTATATTTGCTTTAAACATCTTGAGGGTCTCTAGAATTATAGATTTATGAGAGAGTCCGAATTACCTTTCTATATGCTTGACTTACAGAAAATGCAAAATATTTTGGAATTAATTTCATTTATATTTGAGTTGGCACAACGAAACTAGAATAAACTTTATTGTCTTAAACTTTCAGTTTCTTTTCATAAAAGTCTCTGTCTAGTCTTTTTATTATTTAGTTTCATTAGACACTTTATTTCAACAGTTCATACAATTTTTGTAAAATCACAGAATGGATTATTTCACTAAAAAATAAAAGTTACTTGGAATGTTTCTCCTTCTTTTGTGTATTGTTCTGCTTTTCAGCATCTCTCTGTTTAATATTATCTTTGAATCCTTTAATTGCTTTCCTTTGCTAATTGATGTTACTTGTTTGTACCTAATACCAACTCCTGTGGAATCGCTGTAATGTCCCCTTCCTGACAAATCAGTTTTTTAAAATAAAAATTGTTCTTCAGTTTTTGACTCATGAATCTTCATAGGTATATTTATGTCAGGAAATTTAGAGACTTGAAAGAAAAAGAAGACAGAAGCAAAACACGAGACAGGAATTAGCTGACAAAAAGAGAACATGGGGCTGGAGAGATGGCTCAGCGGTTAAGGGCACTGGCTGCTCTTGCAGAGGACACAGGTTCTATTCCCACCACCCATATGGCTGCTAACAACCATCCATAACTCCAGTTCCAGGGGATCCGATGCCCTCTTCTGGCCTCGGTAGGCACTGGACAACACGGGTGCACCTACCTAAATGTAGGCAATATACCCATACACATAAAATAAAAATAATAAATAAAATAGTATAAAAAGAGAGAACACTATACTGTAAGTCAGAGAAGGGCAGAAGTTCAAAGTGAGTAGAAAAGGAAAATAAAAGAAGACAAAACCAAATGAAGTAGAAACATTAAACTCTTGGTAAAACTAAAAGGTCTGCAAACATAGAAGACAGAGATTAAGGAAGTACATAAGCAATAGCAACAGCAAACCGAGGTCTGCACAGTACTGTAAACAGGAATATATACATACAAAGAGACATCCTTGTTCCTTTCTGCTAGCTTGAAATTAATTCCCAGAGATGTGCAATGATGTAACCCAATTTTTATTTATTAATTTTTCTTAAATGGAGATGTGTTAAAAGCAGCGATTCACTGAGCAAGGTAGCATATGTCTTTAATCCCAGCACTCTGGAGGCAGAGGCAGGTGAATGTGTGTGAATTTGAGATCAGCCAAGGAAACAAAGTCAGATTCTATCTCAAAAAACAAACAAACAAACAAACAAGAACAAAAACAAAAGCTATGCAGGTCAAGGATATTTAGAACTGACCTGGGGAGGAAAGACAGTAAATTGTATCTGCAGTGAGTTTTCTAGTTACATAAATCCAAAAGTAACTAGGAAACAATAGAACTCAGTATGTTAATAGGTATTAGGTTGTATTAAATATTGACCCTTAAGCGAGGAAGAGTTTTCAGAAAAGAAGGTAATTTTTGTGAGTGTGGACCTTCAGGCAGAAGGCATTTCAGCACTCAGTGATAGGTAATAAGCAAGGGGTAGTGATAGATAACCTGTCAGTTCAAGGGCCAGCTTTCTAATTCTGAAGACTGTTATGGGGCTGAGAGATTTTGAGGACTGGGATGCTAACACATTATAGGTCCTTAATCTCTAAGGGAACATTTCATGAGGCTACTGCACTTGAGGCTTACACATAAGGCAGTAGGCAAAGTTGGGATTTTGATGTCGTACTCTGAGGCTCTCCATTGACAAGAAAATATATTCTCAGGGAGACCACTGTAAGAAGCAGTACTTCATTATTTTCTTAATGAATATGAAACTGCTTCATTTTGTTCTCATTCACTAACCTTTTTAGAATAGCAGAGTTTAGCAAGCCAATACATCTCTTAACCCATCCACCTAATGAATGACACTTTTCATTCAAAACTCTTTAAAAATATTGGATATTGCCTTCTCAGTTGGCATACTATAGCATAGCATAGGAGTTCTCAAATTTAAGTGTACAATCACTGAAAGGACTTGTTTAAACATTGATAGCTATACAGTTTCTGATTCAGGTCTAGGATATTGATCTGAGATCACTCTAAGAATTTCAGCTCACTTGTCTAATTCATCAGTGTTTCAGTTGACCCAAGAGCTTTTATTTAATTAGGTTTGTTTGTTGTCACTGATGGACTATACAGGAATCTGCAAACTGGTGGTGGAAGTGTCCAGCCTGGACTTTGCCATCTCCTTCAGCGGTATTTTCCTCTTTATTTCCTTACCACCCCAGTATTCTCCTATGTTGGGTTGGTCAAATTTAGCAAGAAAATATTAAGATCAATATTCAATGATATTCAATGTGAGAATCCCTCCTGGGAGAACTTAAAAAGACAGAACAAAGGCTGGACAGCTGGCACAGCTGTTAAAAGCTCAGGTTCACAACTAAAAGAACAGTATGTGAATTCTGAAGGACAAATTACCAATACTATGACAAACCATCAGAATGATTTCTCTGTATAAATGCATTGATAATATCTGCTTCAGCAAATTATATATTCATGGCTTAAACCAAACTCATAAAATATTTGGAAAAAACTGCATCTATACTGAACATGTATAGACTTTTTGTCATTATTGCCTAAACAACACAGTGGAAAAGCTTCATAAATGACATTTACATTTTAAGTATTGCAAATTACCTAGAGATGATTTAATGTGAATGGGAAGGTGTGAATAAGTTATGAGCAAATACTAAGTCTTTTTACATAAGGGATTTGATCATGCAGATTTTGGTACTCACAGGGGTCCTGGAACAGATCTGGGAATAACAAAGGAGAACACTTTCTACAAATGTATGTATATCAACATATGGATTCATACATAAGGCAAAAACCAAACCTCTTTCCTTGGCCAGGTTGAGGGTGAGATCTGAGTTTGATAATTTGGGAAAGTACAAGCACCCAAAACATTCTTAAGGTTTTGCTTGGAAGGTGCTGTCCATTCAGATGCACATTGTTGACATGCCTTACTATTTGTTTCTCGAATACAAATTAGGACAAAAGTCCATTGACTTGTGCTTTGTGTGTGTGTTTACATTATATTTTCGGTGGCTACTGTCCTCACACACTTCACTACTACCTAACAGACATTAAATGGCAAGGCAAATACGTGTGTGAGGCAATCGGCGAAGAAAAGTGTAGATGTTTTACACTTCTATGGCTCCCTTTATCAATTTTGAGTCCCAGGAGCCAGGCTTAATTTTTTTTAGCGTGTGAAAGTTAGACGGTGATTTGTAGCAGACAACGAAAACGAAGACAGTATTAAAACCCCCCGACTTTTATAGCAGACAAAAATCCATTCCCTTCCTTCCCGTCCCCGGCCTCCTCATCTCGCAGGAGGCGATCAGGTGCCCTCCCTTCCCTCCGTTCCATCAAACAAAGCCGGGTGAGGCTGGCCGGCTCCGCGGTTCCCTCCGCGTGAACGAGCCGCGCCACGCGTCCAGAGACCGTGGCGAACCTGCCCCACCTCCTCGCGCGTCCCCGCCTCTCGGCGCGCGCTCGCCGCTTCCTTCCCTCTCTCAGCCTTTTCCTCCCTCCAGGCGCGCTCCCGCCCCGGCCCGGAAGGCGCAGGCATAGAAGCCGCCCACCGCCTCCTCCTCCGCCCTTCCTCCCCCGCCCCTCTCTCGGCCCCGCCCTCCTTTCTCTCTCGGGTTTCACTGGCAAGGGCTCCAGGTAGACAGCAGTTCAGTCGGCTCCCGCCCCCCGGCCCCCCGCCCCCCTTCCTCCTCCCTCCTCGTTCCACCCCTCCTGTCTGCTGCCGGGTGGAGGATGAGGCTGCAGCGGCCTCGGCTCGGGCAGCAGCACCGGCGGTGGCTGCGGTGGGGGTGGCCGGAACTCGGGTGGTGAAGGCACGGTGGCGGCGCCCGAAGCAGCGCCAGCCGCCCTGGCTTCTTCCAGGGCTTCCCTTCCTCCTGGGTGCAGCCAAGAAGTTTGCCGCCTGTGTACATGTGTGCGCGTGAGTGTGGGTGTGTGAAGTGAGGCTCGGGTGGCGTTTCTGCAGGCGCCGGGTTTTTTGCCCACTTCGCTTCCCGTAAGCCAGGCAGCCTCGGCGCTTGGGCCGTGGCCCGAGGAGGGGGCGCGGCGGCGGGCTCTCTCCTTTTGTTGTTGTTTCCTCTGCCTGGAGAGCTGAAGGGGGGACGCGCCTGGGTGGGGCGGCTCGGAGCCCGGGCCTGCTGGCCCTCGGGGCTCCCGGGCGACAGGGAAGGTAGAGGAGAGCGGGCTTCAACATGATGGCGGCCGAGGCCGGTGGTGAGGAAGGCGGCCCGGTGGCTGGCGGGGCCGGAGGCAGCGCGGCCGCGGGCTCCAGCACCTATCCGGCGGCGTGTCGGGTGAAGCTGCCTTCGGCCCTGCCCGTGGCAGCCGCCCTCTATCCAGGGCCGGCGGACGCCGAGCTGGCCGGGGCCCTGGGTGGCGGATCCGCGTTGGGCTCGGGGTTCCTGGGGACAGGGCCAGTGGCGGGGGTCCTGGGGGGCCCGGGGCTGCCGGGCGGTGCTGCTGCCGGCGGTGCTGCTGCCGCCGGACCTGCGGGAGACTCGGCATTCAGCAAGGGGAGCCTTTCACTGCCTGCGGAGCCCCTCGGGCCGGGCGGCGGATTCCCTCCTCTGCCGCCGCCTCCTCAGCTGCCCCCTTTGGGCGCGGGCCTGGGGACAGTGGATGAAGGTGACTCCCTGGATGGACCAGAATACGAGGAGGAAGAGGTGGCCATACCGCTGACTGCTCCTCCAACTAACCAGTAAGTCAAAACCTCTGTTGAGGGAGTGTGGAAACTGGCTCCGGCTAAGAAGGGGGAACGAGGGGCCAAAACAGACTGCTCTTTGAGCTGCGCGATGTTCGGAAAAGTTTTGAAGTTTCAGGTTTCATGCGTAGGGATTTAATTTGATCAGTCATCTTCCCTACAGGCACACTCCCTGGTGTCTTTGTATGTTTATTGCTCCCCTGGGAAGATGCAAAGTTTTGAGATGGGAAGCATGGGAAAATGTGTATCCAGTGAGAACCGGATATGGTTTTGCTCCTTCCAAATGGAATAGTGTCCCTGGATTCGGCTGAACTTGCCGCTATAAAGGCAGGTACTGTCTGTGCTAACACGTGTGTGTGCTCACTGCTGAACTTTTAGTGGAAAGCGTTGAGTGTAGGTATTTCAATGAATATTGTATTAATGTAATTTGGAAACGGCGTGGTGAGATGCTTTTTGTTGCAGTTGCAAATCCCAACTTAATGTCTACTGAAAGCACTTTGTTTCAAAAAAGACTAGATCACTTTTGAGAAAAGGAAGAAGTTCAGCGAATAACAGGCGTGATTAAGAACCCACATATTGAACACAATCTGTAACTTGTCCCTTAGAATTATTTTTTAGTATTTGTATAATACTTGTGTACTGGGACTGTGTTAAGTACAGGGTTGAAGTAAATAAAAAATTAGTAGTGCTTTCAACACTTTGTTGGTGGCAGATACAATAAATAGTCTATTTGGGATAATAGACAAAACGTTTTCTAGATCCTACCTAGATTAATTGAGCTAGAATTTCAGCAGCTTTGCTGACTATTAGGAAAAAACAGTTTGGTTCGTATGTTAAGACATTCAGAAGTTTTCTTCAAGAGGATCAGTTTCTTTAGAGTCTTAAGAAATTGTTTAAAAAATAAATTTGGAAACCACTCTTAAACACTTTTGACTTAAGCTACATTTAGTAATTTAAATGAATATTGTATCATTGCAATTTGGGAGTGCATTGGTCAGAATCCTTTGGGTCTGTTAGAACTTGCAAATCCAAAGTTGAGTGTACTTTGATACAGTGAAAAGTCTTAATTTATGCCAGCCATGTGGAGAGATGCCCTGTTCCTTTTATGTTATCCAACACAAAGTGTAACTTTTTTGTCTAATTTTACTCTAACTTATGTTTGTGTATTGCACTTTTTGTGAATGTTCTGAAAGTGTTGAAGAAGATTCTAGCTTTACAGCACTATTTATGTACTTCTGAAAAGATCAGTTTTTTATTGTAAAATAAATAGTACACAATACATGCTTAGAATTGTGATTATAATAAAATGCCGTTTTTAATACTGAAAGAATACAGTCTTGTGCCATTTCAGAATTAAATTGATTTAGGCATATTTAGGATATTGTTGTTTATATAAAAATTTTATCTTTTTTTATTTTAAAAATATTTTATTATTTCTCATTTTATGTGTATGAGTGTATCACCTGCATATATGTAAGTGCACCTGTGTTGTGAGATACCTGTGGAAGTCCGAAGAGGGCATCGAATTCCCCTGGAACTGGAGTTATAGATGGTGTTAGCCCCCATGTGGGTGCTGGGAATTGAACCTGGTCCTCTGCAAGAGCAGCCAGCACTCTTAACCATCTCTTTTGTCCCTATTTATTTTTATGTGTATGAGTGCCTGCATATATGTATGTGTATCATGTGGGTGCCTGGTGCCCACAGAAGTCAGAAGAGGGTATCAGAATCCCTGGAACTGGAGTTGCCATGTTGTGAGCCTCCATGTGGGTGCTGGGAACTGTATCCGGTTCCTCTGTAAAAACAGCAAATGCTGCTATTAAATTCTGAGCCATCTCTCGAGCCCCAGAATATTGTTCTTAAATTATTCTTTTAAACATATTTTAAAAAATTTTATGTATATGAGTGTATTGCCTGCATATATGTAAGTGCACCCATGTCGTGCAGTGTCCGTAAAGGTCATGTATTTTTATTTTTGAGCCAGGGTTTCATTCTAGCCCAGGCTGGCCTGGAACTTAAAGTCTAACTCCAGCTGCCCTTGAATCTGCTGTTGTCTGTCTCTCAAGTGCTGAGAGCATAGACTTGAGCCACCACACCCACATCCCCACTTCTAATAGGCTTTTAAAGAGGAATTTAAAGTTCACAGCAAAATTGAATGGAAAATACAGAGTATTGCCATCCATTAAATTTTTAATAATAAGCATGGTTATGTAAGGAAAGTTGTGTTTGTGAGAAATCCATTAGGTGAAATTTTCATTATTAATAAATATATTTGGGAAGATAAAATTTGTAATATATATATATATACAGTATATATATATGCTTGTATATCTTTTATTGTCTTTTTTCTTTCAGTGCTGTCAAACTCAGAGCCTTACACATTAGGCAAATGCCTTACCACTGAGCTACATCCCTAGCCCATTTTCTAGGTTTTTTTTGAGGGGTCTTCTTGGGACAGGGGCTCCTGTAGTCCCCGCTGTCCTGGAACTTGCTATGGAGATCAGGCTGGCCTCTGTCTCAGAGATCTGGCTGCCTCTGCCTCCCAAGTGCTGGGATTAAAGTCTAGTATGTTTTTAAAATTTACTACTTACTGTACAAATCCATACCTCTTTTCCTTTTAAAAATAAGATTTATTCTTCATGTCATAATCTCGTGAGCTGTAGGGATCTTAGCTCCATGCTGACATTCAGGAGCCTCAGTTCCCTCCATTTAATGGTTCTGTCATCTTATGCTGTGTGTGTGTGAGTGTGGCATATGCACTTGTGGGCATGTGTAGAGGCCAGAAGAGGACATTCATACCTCCTCTTCTATCACTTTCCACTTTGCTTCTTTGAGGCAGGGTCTCTCCCTGAGCCTGGAGTATTAGCTAGACTGGTGGCCAGCAAGCCCCACTGATCCTCCTTTCTCTACCCCCTTGCTGCTCTGGTTATAGGAGTGTATGGGGCCATGCCCGACTTGTTACAAGGGTGTTGGAATCTGAACACTAGTCTTGATGCATGCACAGTAAGTACTCTTAACTGCTGTGCCATCTCTCTAGTTTCTGCCTTTGTTTTGTTTTGTTTTTTTCTTTTTTTAAATTTAGATATTAACTTAGTTGCTGGAGGCAATATAGTGTCATGTTAAGTGTGCAGATTGTGAGGTTAAACAAGATTTGGGTTGATATCCGGAGTGCCACTTAGCTGTGTGATCATCAGAGGGGTAATTTTTGCTTGTGTCCTCATGGCCCATGCCTTTTATCTGATAACTCGGGAGGCAGAGGCAGGTAGATCTCAAGGCCAGTTTGGTCTACATAGTGAATTCTTGGTCTACGTAGTGAATTCCAGGCCAGCCAGGGCTGCATAGTAAGACTCTTGACTCAGAAGAAAGAAAAAAAAAGAATTTTCCTGTATTTACAATAAGATAATAATAATGGTATCTCTCTTATATTTTTAAGATTTAATGAGTGTTTTGAACTGCTTATCACGGTGCCTAACAGTGTTCTGATAACTAAATAGTTCCCTAAATAACAATATAACTTTATTATCATAAAATTGCCTACTTTTTTTTTTTTTTTTTTTTTTTTTTTTGTATAGGGATATTGTCCAAGCTAAATTTGAATTCCTGGGCTCAGGTGATCATCCTATCTCAGCCCTGACTAGCTGGGATTGCTGACACCACCTCCTTCATTGTCTCAAATAGATATTTTACTCAATTGTTAAAAATTTACCTAGTTGAGACAAGATCTTGTAATATAGCCTAAACTGGTCTGGAGCTTGAGATCATCCTGTCTCAGCCTCCTGTGTCCTGGGACTGTAGGTGTGTCTCACGTGCCCAAACTTTAATAGCTGTTTTAGAGCAGGGCTTCTTAAACTTTTTCCACTCTTGCTCTCTTTTGCCCATGTTTTACATGATGCAAAGCATATAAAGTAAATCAAGCATTTATTGATAATAAATCATAAAGATTATTATCAAACAATGCTTTGGTATATGTAATTTATTAAAACAGACAAATTTGCATATCAACATACTTATTTATCTTTACATAAAGAATTCAATCCTAGCTGAGTACATACACTGCAGGATGTAGAACATCTTCAGTATTTTCCATAGTTGATAGAATTTTGGTTTTATAATTATCAATGTTGAGAACTTCTGCTTGCATAAATATGTATTAAAAATATTAGGAATATGTTTAGGATCACATCAGAAATTGTTGGAAATACTGTCCTATTCCCAACCCAAAAGTCATTTAATAAACTTTCACAGAAACAGCTCAACAGTTTTAAACAGTTTTAAAATCAAACATAATACAATCTAAAGATATACAAATTTAATATTTATTATATGTGTTGAAGAATGATGATTAAAAAGTCTAATTTTTGCAGTTAAACTATTGTGTTTCTATAGGAGCAGAAGACTTTCTGTGTACAGTAAAAACACCACAATTCATAACAAACAGTGGTCTTGAATCTAAGCTGAAGTGTTTCATACAGTGTTGTTCATTGACATTGCATGATATGAAGGTATGTGCAGTGCAGAGTTTCCATGTTGTATGTTCAGAACCAAGGTTGCTGGGCCTATGATGTAGCACAATGGTAGATCCCTTTTTTTAACATATGTAAAACCCTGGGTTCAAGTCCCAGTACTGCAGAAAGCCAAGGCTTGCTGTGAAATTGCACTATTCAACACTGGTATTTATTAGGCATTCAATTTTGAATTACTTTTTGGCCACTGTGTGTTCAGAAACTTTACTGTTGCCATAGTTTTCATAACATTCAGGTCTATGACCTGGCGGATTTGCAATCCACAGTTACAACCGAGTTTTAGAGTATTTTTTGACTTTAAAGGCAATCCTACTGTTAATTATTACATTAAGTTTTATTCACTTATATTTTTATGTGTATAAGAATTTTGCATGCTTGTATGTAAGTGCAACCTATGCATACAATGCCTGTGGAGGCCAGAAGAGGGTGTTAGGTCTCCTAGAACTGGAGTTAGGACAGTTGTCAACTGCCGTATAG